GAGTTGTCCCATCTTAAGAGATCCAGTGTGCCAACCGGAAGCAACTGCCCTGACCCAGACCATCCCACTGCCACCAGCACAACAAGCCCCAGCATGTCCAAGAAAGACGCAGAGCCGGACCTGGACTTGGACTACGACTTTATTCTGTCCAACTCGATTCTTCAGCAGCAGCAGCAGCAGCAGCAACAGCAGCAGCAACAGGAGGAGGCCATGGCATGCACCTCTGGCCAGGCCTTGTCTCCTTCCCCTGGCTCTTTCTCCTCATCTTACCCTCTCCCCTCCCCTCAGGGCACTGCCAGTGAGCTGCTCTACACCATCCCAGATATAAGTGACGTTTCGCCCTCTGGAGGTTTTGTGGCAGAGCTCATGAGACCCGAGTTGGACCCGGCATACCTCCACCCCACCAGCCTCCATGGCAAGTTTGTGGTCAAGACAACAATGGACATGGGAGAATACAGCCAAGGCGTGAACGTCAGCAAAGCCTGCGTTAATGCTGTGTCAGACCCAACTCCTTCACGTGCCTCACCGTCCTTTACATGCCCCAGGATAAAGCAGGAGAACCCCGGTAATTGCACCATCTCACAGCCTATGGACCTACACTTGTCTGGGGTAAACTCCCAGGGCCGGGGGAGCCAGCAGCAGCGCCCCGGCCACTTGGATCTACATGGGTTCCCTGGCGGAGGGCGGTCTATGACAGGCAGCAGGTTATCCTCATCCTCTTCCCTCTCCCCAGACCATCCGCTGGGCCGGGAGCACCAGGTGCTGGGGCATCCCCACTCTCAGATCCCTCTACCTCCCCAGGGATACCACCATAACTCCCCGCAGGGCTACACCTCCTACCCTCAGCCATCCTCCATGCAGTACCAAGGTTAGAGCACATTTCTTTATATACTTTATATACTTTTCTTGTAATCTCTCTGGCTACTGAATTCAGTAACTTAAATGGGAGTGTGATGTGAATGAGAGACTAGACTAGATAACATATTAGAAAACAGGAATATAAAATCGAACTCCAAATCTTATACCACCTGAAGGGCTTTAATTATATCTCATACCCTGAAACCAGCGATTCATAAGGTTTAAAGGCTAGATCCCATGGCACACAACAGATATTGTGTTGTTTTCATTAGATCAGCGTTGTCTTGTTCTTATTGGTTGTGCCACTTTGCGCCTTTTTACACTGAAGTACTATTAAGTCTTTTGAAATACTGGCTGTGCTACAAGCTGTTTGTGTTGTTCAAAAAAAGGCTGACGTTTTCTAGGGCATCTTAAAGTTTACAGCAGAAAAAAACATTTTTAAATGATAAGGAACACACTGTAATTTAAGTGTCTGATTCAAGCCAAAAAGCACAGTATGTAACCTTATTGCACTGTGTGATCTCTGACATATTTATACACTGAAAATGTTCTCTATACGTATGATGTGGTGTAGTGATGTTGACCACGGCCCTTTGACCCAACAGAGCCCCTCATGATCTCCAGTGGCGACTGCTTGCCAGAGGAACCAAAGCCTAAACGCGGTAGGCGCTCCTGGCCGAGGAAGAGAGTCGCCACACACACGTGCGACTATGTTGGCTGTGGGAAAACTTACACAAAGAGCTCCCATCTCAAAGCCCATCACCGCACACACACAGGTATGTAACTGTATGATAATGTTCTGTCATCCATTGTTTTGTTTTTTTCGTGCCGTTTGTATCTGTCACACTTTCATACTCTTTTCATTGTTCAAAGCTAGATAACAAAACAACCGCATCTGTTGCACATTGGGTACAAACACACTGAATTATTGAGTCGTGAATGGGGGTGAGGGGAGTTGTTTAGCAGGTGCAGTGAAACAGGTTGATACTGATCCCTGTGCCAAATGCAAACTCCGGCCTGATTAGCTTGGCCTTTATACAGTAGCTGCAGGACAGGATGGACCTCTTTTCTCCTGGAGGTGGGGAAGGTTGGGCCAGTTTAACCTCAGGGCCAGCACTAACTGCTCCATGTGTGTATTGTGTTTCCATCAAAGGGGAGAAGCCTTACCACTGCGACTGGGAGGGCTGTGGTTGGAAGTTTGCACGTTCGGACGAGCTCACACGCCACTACAGGAAACACACAGGCCACCGGCCATTTCAGTGTCAGAAATGCGACCGGGCCTTCTCAAGGTCAGACCACCTTGCTCTCCATATGAAGAGACACTTATGAGACTTGGTTAGAGGACCAGACTGGATGGCGATGGATAAAGGCTCCTGAAATAAAAAAGAAATGTTAGCACAACCCTGAACAAACTTGTGACCTACACTTTTTAAAACCATAATTTGCCTTCAAGCCGTTGTCAAGCAACAAGACAAGCTGTGGTGTTCACAGCAAAAAGAGCATTACTCCCCCAAGAGCCCAGAATTTCTCTCAAGACTGATCCCATCTTTGCACATTGTGCAGGTGACTCGACGAGACCTCTCTGTCAGGGTTGTAAACCTTTATGAAAGGGACCAAACTGGAATGTGTCTTATTTAACCGACAAAACTTGGAGGACCAGGTGCCAACAACTTTTAACTGGAAATGTATTTTTGTCAGGGAAGCCAGGAGCAACAGACAAACATCTCCAGAGGCCTTCTACCAGCAACATGCCATTATAGGCTCTGTTAACAACTACACACTGTTCAAAATACTGTATTAATAAATACATCTATATTTATGTACACCTTTCACCTGCAATGCCATTAATTTCAGGTACAATGTTAATTTATACAGAATGGTGCTTAGTGACTCTGAAGAAGGTTGTTTTTGTTTTTTTTAAGAAAAGGTACCAAAGATTAAGGAAAAGATACAAATGGGTGAAAACTATGGAAAAGTGCCATATGGTTGTTTGTGTGTTTCTTGGAAACCTCTTCCACAATCGGACTTAAATCAGGTGAACACTTCACTTTTGAAACGGTGATGGCAATCTTCAATGCACTGCAGTTGCAAAGTGCAATAATTTATATGAGACATTCATATTTTTGTATGGAATGAGTAACTCTGAACAAAGATGTTTTGTTTATAGCCTAAATATGTAATATAATCTTGAGTTTTGTACATTTGTAAATAAAATTGCTTTGTTATTGTTTTGTATTTTCCAGTATAATAAAATAAAATGTATTTGAAATAAGAAAACCATGATGATACTTATACTCTATCTACACTATTATCATTCACTTTATTGAAAGTAAAGCAAAGTAGACATTTCTTGCATAAAAATGACATGCATGTTAAGTGAAGTTTTCTTGAAAATCATTAGTTATATTAATTGTAGATTTCCCTGCTAGTGTAATGGAGAAGCACATTTAAATGGCAACAATAGCTCAGGCAGCTCACACACAATACCCCCCTGATAATCACGGGATTGCCACAGGCAAACTAACACAATGTTGCTGTTAAAAAGATTTTCAAAAAATACACTCCTACAATGTCCTGTTTCCATGGGGTTCTCTTTCCACCTGTCAGCTGAAAGAATGGGAAGGACAACTGAGTTACTGGCTGACATTCAAGGGTGACACCAAATCTGACTGCCACTATGTGATGGAGCTCTCAGATGTACAACATGAATGAAACCTATGAAGATGCTAAAGTAAGATAGTGTCATATGTTTCTGCTATAAGAATATTATGATTATGGATCATTTCTTTGCAAGGTATGTACATACTGTATCCACCAACATGCACAAAAAGCTGCACAGCAATATCACAATACTAAAACTATATATATGAAATCCTGCTATATGCTTACTATCCACTCAACAACAGAGATCCAACACCAAAGAAAGGCCAAAGGAATGTTGTCATTAAAGCACACTCAGCGACATTTGCATATTCTACTGGCCTCAGGACAGAAACACTTTAATATTTGCATCTTTGATTGTATCGTCATAGACTCACAAACAGTAAACAGCAAGGTTGTTCCAAATAATTGCAGTTAAATATACATTAATTAATATAAAAATGTAAAACATAATGACTGATTATTAAAAATATTGATATTCATACTGATGTTCCCTAAAAAATAAAAAAAATAAAAAGATTGTATGATTTGCTAAAGATCAGCTATGTATTCATTTCCACTATGGAGTATGGTAACATCATAACACAGCAAAACATATGTCGTTAAATTAATCAAGAATTAAACCAGCAGAAAAATAATTATTTACTATTAATAGTAAGAAAATGTTAAATGACATAAGAGCCCATGTTTGAAGCGAAACCAATATGTGTATCATAAATGATATGAAGTCTAACAGTTCACTTATTTCAATTATCTTTAATAGGCCAAACTGTTGTACTAGTTAATGCCAATGTTGTTAAATTGTTAGATATTGACCCAATTTGTGGTTTTCAAGTAAACATGTATTGAGACAGGCAAACAGAGCTTAGTATTGACGTTTGTGAAAACATGTTGTGGTCTATGTTGCCCCCTATAGGTTAATTCAGTTTCAAACTCAACTCATTTAAAATTCCTAAACAGAGCTGCACAGTGAAACTGCCCTGTAGGTCCTTGATAAATAATCCAATTTACAAACAATGTAGAGTGAGAACAGCAAAATTTTAGGTGTCGGTCAGATGCCCAAATAAAATAAGTTACCGTCTGCACTAAATACACTTTTTAAAGTAATTTTTTTGTCCGTTTTACATCTTTATTAGATAGCGCCAGTGGAGATAGTCAGGTACTGCAGGGAGAAAGAGAAGGGGAATGACATGCAGCAAATGGTCTGGCAATCATGTCACTCCCAAATACATTCTTTGTTAAACTCCCTGTCTTGTATTATCAATCCATCCAGGTCAGTTTTTTATGTCCATTGCAACCAAAGTTGCAAGTCCAGTACACAGGATCAGTCGATAAATGTAATAAACTGACTTTAGTGCATTTAGTGTTAGGTTCCTCTTTAAAGGCAAAGTACTTGAAGGTAAGTCACACCCTACATTCAGATATCTGCAGTCACACACAAGCAAACACAGCAGAGCAGGTGCAGCCTTCATTTATCTTGAAAACTTTATTTTTTCTGTAAAAATGACAGTCATTGCAACTAAACCCTATCACATGTATGTAAACTATATACATGTTCAAATGCCTTCATATATGCATTGCAAGTCAGACATCATTACACAGCTCCTGCCAACAGGCCTTTTGATTTACATGTATATGAGGGATGTTAAATAGGAAAAGAACCAGTGCTATACATGTTGGTTTATGCACAGCTTTAATTTTCCAAATTTCCATTACTTCTCAACTTTGAAAATTGAACAATAAGAGTGCATGAATACCTTTCAAACCTACCCTGAACTAACCTGACGTATAGTATGAAATGTACTGCCATTGCAAACCATTATAAAAAAAAATCAAAAAAATCACAGGTCTTACTTAACTAAAGTGTTAAAAAAATCAATAGCACACAGGTGATTTCTGATGCAAAGTTATTGTACTTTAATTGTTCCTCCATTTCAAACTGATCACAAACAACAGCCTGTCCTTGTGATAATGATCCAGTGTTATTAAGAGAGGTGAATGTGGAAGTGGTGAATAAAACTGTTTTTGGAAATGTAAAAGGCTTGTTGTACACATATATTCAATATCAGCAATCAAAAAGTAGAGGAAGATAATAAGAAATAAGAAGTCACAATAAGGATGGCTCTTTTAATCATCGTCAAAGTTCTGTTGTAAAAGGAAGTTGGCGGCCAAGTTCTCGTTCTTCTCACAAGCAAAGTAGGCTTGTATAACAAGTCCTTCTGGAAACCCTAAGGCTTTTAGCTGGAATTAGAGAGAGACGTGTTGTATATTAGTCAAACAATGCTTCAATAAGCAAATGACAGTTTCTGTTTCTTGTTTTATCAGTCTCTGCTACATGAAGAATAAAACTTATCGGACTTGTGGGTAGGGTAAATGACAGTGTTGTGCTCCTCCTCACCCTCTCGATGGCCTCTTTCTCCTGTGGTGTGACCTGGATATAGCTCATGTGACTTCCGCCGGGCGTATCACCTCCCATTCCTCCAGCTCCTCCGGCTCCCCCGGCTCCAACTGCTCCTCCCGATTCGCCTGCACCACCAACTGGCACAGGTTCTGGATTGGGTTCATTCAGCATCTGGATGAACTGCTCCTGGTGGTTGCTAATCTCCTACAGTGGGAAATGAGCAGTTCAGGCATTATTATATCACTTGATGCAAAAAAAATAAAAAAAAAATAAATCAACAACAACAAAAAACATCCTATAGTTGCTGGTTATTTATTTAATTTTAGTAATAAATTAGGGGGACTCACAAAAGACAGATTTAATGCTCAAATAGCTAACTTTTAGCCTCTAGTAAGGGTCTACATCTGAAAATGCTGGATCCTACAATATGTAACTTAGTTATAAAATGTAACTTTTCCACATTAAAATGTATAGAAATTACTAGACCCATGTTATACATTTTTTTATGAGTTGTGTACTTACATTTTCCCAAATGTTTCCAGTAATTCGCAAAAGAAATACGTCATTTTAAAATGGTAACGCTCCGTGTCCTTTGGTCGCCTGTCAATGATATCATATCCCCTGTGCATGGATAGGTGGTGTAGTTGCCTGCCAGAAGCTCAAGATTGACTTTTATCTAGTTTTAAGCCACATTACACTTTTAGGGATCCTAACTGGGAGAAGCTTCTGGTAATTGTGGTGAAGACAACAACTTCCATGATCCCATGCTATTTTATGACATCACGTACCGCCGCCTTTTCTTATTGTTTTGATTGAGAGACCCCTGGCAGCAGAAGTTACATACTGTGTTTTTAAGTGCCACGTTAGTTTTTCAAATTTTAAACAGCTCCCTCAGGAGCCACTCAGGACTGTTCTCAAACACTGTGTACTAAGTACTCCTTGTTATGAGTAAACTCAACATCATGTGTAAAATGAGTGGATTGTTAAGTGACCTGTAACTGCAGAGCTTAAACCATGAGATTATTCAATCAGAACTGTGTCAAGGCCCCCGCTCCAATACATCCACACTTACTGCAACACTCTTATTCAAAAACACATCAAGCTCCGTCAGTGCCTCACCTGCAACAGTTCGGGGTTTTCCCTGCCGATCTCCTGTAGCAGCGCCGGGAGGAGGGCGGCATTCTGCTGGATCAGCTGTCGCATCACATGAAACTGGGGCTGATTTCTGAGGAAACTCAAGGGATTTCCTGAGAAGAAAGCGCAACCAGTAAGAATCAACAAGTCAGACAAAATATAATAACATTTGCTCACTGAGGCTGATGGAACATGCAGAATAGTGTGGTGCTGTTTACCTCCAGTACTTGGTGAAGAGCCAATGTTGGCGGGGAGACTAATACCGCTTGTGGGTGCAGCTGGAGCTCCACTCGCTGGGGGCGTCACTGCATCGGGACCTGTGGCATGGCCCTGATCCCTGTCTGGGATACCCTGTCAGAAAAGTCATGAACAAGATAGAATGTCAAACTGTTGTTTTGACTACTTGTAGTCCACTTGTAGACCAATCACGCATTAAAACACATTGCTGGATTGGTGCGTAGCCTAAGACACATTAACTGTACCCACAGACATAACACTGTTCTTACCGTGAGCAGGTACTCCACAGCTCTGTCTGGGTTGTTGAAGCTCGCCCTCAAAGCTGCCACCACCTGCTCCCGCTCGTAGCCCATGAGCATCATCTCGTTCACCATGGCATCATATGATGGGCCTGTCACTAAAGGAACACACAAACACCAACACAGCAGGTGCATTTGAGTAGTGGCACCAGAGAATCTGTTAAGTTGTGTTTTCTCGGGTATTGCACTGTAATTAGCCACATCTAAGGCTATGTCAGAAAAACTACTTCCTAACCGTTAATGACCCAATATTTGCAAAAATAATGTCAAGTTCTGTTTCAGTATTTGACTTAAAATAGTAATTTATGTTAAAACATAGTTGTCAAACTGTAAAGTTCACCAGAAAGACTGAAGAAAAAAAAACCAAAAAAAACTTTAATTAGAAGAAATTAATAATAAAAAAACATTAAAATGCCTGTAAGAATTGAATAAAATATTCAAAATATGACCATAATGTGAAGCAGAGGACATGTTCTGCTCCCACGTTTTTAAGGTTACATAATACAGAGGAAAAAAAACACCAAAAAAAAAAACAAAAAAAAACAAAGGAAATCCTATGACAGTATATTAAACAAAAACACAACTTTAATGCATCACAGGGGAAGACGATTTCAGGAGTTAGAATACATAACGCTTAAGTTCTCTACTGTGTCCCATAAAAATAAACAACCTGCCTCAAATGTTGAAAATTCAGATGAGTGGCTATGAGTCATGATAATTAAGACCTAAAGGATTTGCTCTGAGCAAAGTAATATTTGCAAAGTTCAGAGCATGTGGCCAAAGGGAACTGTGGGATTATGTTTTGGCTGAGCTATGGAATCAGACTGCTCACAGATTACAATACATCAAAAACAGCACGCTATGGGTATCAACAATAAATAGTGTGGGCCACAAAACTTTTCTATCAGATTCATAATTACACTTCTGTCAGATCGAGCTTCAATAAAAAAAATCATACAATAATGAATCACAAGTAGGTTTACAAATGCAGCCTTACCTAGATTTGAAATTGCCTCATCAATTAGGTTTGTGTTTGTTGATGCCTCAGAGCTTCTACAAGAGAAAACAGGCTTTGGGTGAGGCATGATCTGCACATCACTTCTCAAAGAAATACACAGCGCTATCAGATAAACAGTTGAATAAACATCTACCCATATTTACCCGACTGTGGAGGAAGTTGGTTCAGCAGTCGAAGACTGTCTCTCCTCCGGTTTGTCATCTGTAGAGGCACGCTCTGTTGTGCTCTCTGAGCTGGACGATGTGGCGGGAGGTGCTGCGGAAGTTGTAGTGCTGGGAGCTGAAGTGGAAGGTGAGGACTGTGGGGCAGCTGAGGCTGTTTTAGGCTGCGAAACAATTTTTAAAATTCAAAAATACGTCACTTCACCAATATCACTTCACAGTCACAATGGGTCATTTACTTATGAGTTGTCATTAAAAAGATTATTTGTGGTTGTGTTTTACTTTTGGTTGTCTTTGCTTAAGGAATGACTTTGCCATCTTGAGGTATACTGATAAAAGGCCATTAGAGACACCTCTATGATATAACTAGCTAGCTTGAGCTTTCTTCCATATATTCTGATTGGCATATCTAGTTTGATCCTGAATAGGGTTACCGAAATCACTTTTTTTGCCCCTAAATCTGAATCTTGCTATAATGTGCATCTACAGACAGAGTCCCATTCCATTCTATATTTTCTTTCTCTCAAGGCCACGCCTACAATAAAATTTGTGACGGAATTTAGTCATCTGACTGCCGAACAGTTCTGCATGAACAAAGTACAGGCTGATCACCACTTTCTCTACTGTCCTGCAGTAGGTACTTGTACTATATTCAACAGTAGGGAAAGGGTACAGCAGGAAGATTTGGACAGGACTAAAACAGCCTTTCTATACCTTCAGTATAAGCAAAGTACCAACCAATTTGTCCAGTTTTAAATCAACAGCTGTCCATCTTAAATACAGCCATACAAGATTATAATCATACAAATTAAAATAAATAAATACATGTTAAAATATGCTCACAACACAATAATCTGCCATATACAAAAACTATATTTTAGTTCTCGAACCTTTGTCACCATGATGACCACAAAGTTCTTCTCATCGATTTTATACTCTTTGAGGGCTGTGTCATCGTTGAGGATTTTACCTGGAAGAAACAGACAAATTAGTCACAACTCTGTTTACTTCACTTGCCATTAACTCTGAAACAACATGAAGGGACAGAACAAAAGATTTTATCATACTGTATCATTGAATAGAAGATTGTTGAGCCGTTTAATCGCCTGCTTTTGTCAGAACATCTGGGCATCTTTTTGTCCTACTGTAAAGTTCAGCTTTTATTTTTTGTTATGTGTGTTTGATAAACCAAGTCAAGTGGAGTCACACAAACCCCACTGCTTAAAATACAATAATATGCTTATACAGTGCATACACTGTCTTTAACCTCCCTTGGAATTTGTCATGTTTGATTGCTTTAAAACATAAATTACATGTAATTAGTATTAGTGACATTTACACAAATCCTAAATACCACTCAGTTTTACTCCTGGCTCCCTGAATTCCATCTGAATGCACCTTTTGAAAGACAGATAATTACAACGCAAATGGATGCAGGAAGGCTGAGAACACATTGCAACCCTTCAGCAATTCTGTGTATATTGTTAGCAATCCTGTTAACCTGCTCTACATAACTGCACCACATATGTACAACATCATCCAACGCCTAAAATGCTATGAACAAAAATACCTTTATTTAGGCCTTTGAATGGATGAGTACAACAAATCCAGTGGGTCAATATTTGCCATACAATGCATCAGCTATTATAAATGTGAAAACAGATCCTTATTTGAAATTACATGAGTTAAATTACAACACATCAAAATTTAACATAACATGATTGAGAAGAAAGCAAGGAGTTTGGCAACTTGTGTCTCAATGAAGGCCACTTAAAGGATCAGGCTTTAATCCAACTGTAAACCAAAGAATATCCTCACACTGCGACTCAAAAATTGAGTCAAACATAAATAAACAAAAACTAAATCTAATCATCCCATTTTTCTGATCCTGCTAAAGAACTGTTCAGATCAGTTTTTATTTGTATGGAAAATCTATGTACAACACTTGTTAGTTTATTCAGTGTGTCAGCTGTCAAGAGTAGCACACATTGCTCCAGTAAAACCCTGGAAATGCACAGCAGTATGAGCAAGGGAGCTACAAGAGAACCACCAATGGAATAACCAGCAGACAGCAGTGTCAGTTAGTGTACGACAAAACACAGCTGGTCAATACCACTAAAATGTTGGGTAATTACAAATCCTGTCACAGCACAAGATGAATAAAGCCAATTAGTTGGAAAAACAGAAATGTTTGACTAATTAAACTTAATGAAAGGTCCATATCTAAGAATATTTATACTCTAATAATTCATATGTTTTATGCTGTTTTGTGAGGCTGGTTTTATTCTTGGATGCCATCGACATGAGTTGTATTGCCCTGATCAGTCATTTTCCAAAGCTTATCCTTGTGCCATATCAGAAGCAATTACCTGTCAGTTTTTCAAGGCAAGGTTGTGTAAATAGCCAATTCTGCATGGCGCCATTTTTCAAGGACGACCACTGCGCCTTCTTTTATTGGTAGTGTGCCTCTTCCTATACCTCCTAACCACAGCTCCAACTGTGTTTCAGCTTATGTTCAGTTGCCTACTGATGCTGTCTTACCCTCTCCCATCTTTACAAAGTCTCACCATCTGGTTTCTCACTTGTTCAGGCTGTTCCTTACCATGTGGAGCCATGCTGCATTAGACACAACCCAGGCCATAACTGTGAAAGCTGTAGTGCTATTTTATAGCCTTATTCATGCAATGAGTTTTTACTGGAAATCACAGGTTTGCTCACTTTGGTTGCATTGGGTTTGTACTTTGGGGCCCATATTTTCAATGTAGTCATTCCAACCTGTTCGTTTTAGACTATGCATAAGATCAAATACTCTTAAAAATATATATAACACAATGTTACTACTTTGAATCATTCAACATTTTTCTGATAATGGGTTCTGCTCAGTTTTGTTGTACACTGTATATACATCAGCAGAAAGAGATGTGGGTAGAAAAAGGGTTGTTGTGCTGCTGTCTAATATTTTTTAATGTTGGGTGATAGAGATGCTGTCAAACTTGTCCATCTTTTCTGCCACATAAGTTCTGGAGTCACACCACCTTCTCAATTGAAAGCATTAATAGTACTGGAAACTATTGAAGGAAAGTTGTGACACAGACTATATTTTCTTACCTTTCAGCTTTCAACGACTATCAGCCTCACAAATGTATTGCAAATGTCAATGGGATGAGACATTAGAGTAAAACCTAATAAATAAATGCAATAAAAATGTGAGGTAGATATTTTGCAAGAATGTCTATGTGTTATGTACCTCTAAGCCATTGAAAATCAATAATAAGATGTATCTAAGATCATCAACAGCGGGTAACATACCAGCATATATCAGTTTCTGGCCAGCAACTGAGAAATTGTCCTTTCCCTTCTCCTCTTCAATCCTCCCTTTTAATGTCTTCACCTGTGAAAAAAGGCCACTAGAATTTATTATGACAATGTTTTTTCTACGGAATACTATAACATAATAATAAAAAAAACATGATTCACCATTTCTGCCACCACTTTGTGAGGATTGCCCTCATTATATAACGAGTTAAAAAATAAAGTACAAAGTGTGCACTAGGTTAACTACTATCACATCATAAAAAATGGAGCTGAATAAACATTACACTTCTGACTCTTAAGTCTAACTGACTCAAAAAACATGCTGAGTTCATGTTCACATAATGAAATGTGCATGTTTCACGTAGTTATGCAGATTCATCGAAAGTAAAAGTTAACGAAAAGCTGACTTTCATAAGCAAAACGCCACAATGTAAAGTTTTATTATGATTTACAGTAGCCGTCAGACCTCGGTCATCCAGGGTCAAAGTTAGATTTAATTTTAACATGACGTTTAGAGACGGTTTACACTAGCTTAAATTCAAACTGCCGTTATCTTATTTAAATATGATAGCTAACTACATTAAATAACGTTAATTAACTGCTACTGTCGCGCCATTTTTAACTTATTAAACACAAAATGAACAGTGATAATTTATTATAGTTTACGGCTTCACAAACATTAAACGCCACAGTTAATGCTAAGTTAACTTGTCATCTTTTCTCCCCCCATCAGGAACCTGAAGTGGGCTACGGCTAAATGCTGACGATACAAACTACTTTCATAGTCAGTGTTTAATAAATAATGCGAATCTGTCTCAAGTTCCGCGTCACACACGAGCCACATTAATCCATAACAGTTTAAATAAAATCTAAGATTAATTTGTGTTATTTATGTAGACATATTAATCGATCGTCTAATTTCAAATATTCAAAAACTGAAGGACTCGGTTCCAGGACATACCCAACTCCCACTCCACCCCCTTCACAGATGCATGGTTTCAACTCTTACCGTCTCCTCTTCGTCGATGTCGATTTTGAACGTCTGCTGTTGTAAGGTTTTCAAAGTTATCAGCATTTTGTCGACTGAGTTTTTCTCCCCGCGCCTGGTTTGAACGTTGTAAATCCAACTTGCAAGAATCTTTACTGTTTTTGTTGGCTCATTACAAACTGTCAGCCGCCATGACTTTTCGCCTTTCTTCTTCTGTGTGAGTCAGTCAGGCTACAGCGCCCCTGCTGGTCAACTTTAACATCACAGTGACATTTCATTTTTATTCACCTGTGGGAGAGGTATATTGTGCCCTTTACTCAAATAAAAGTAGCAATACTGCTATATAAAAAGTCCTGTATTTACATTGTATTGTGAAAAAAAAAAAAAAAAAAAAAAAATATATATATAGAAGCCTCATTAGCAAAATGTTCTTGAAATATGAATGGTTAAAGCTTGCATTATGCAGGTTGTCCTCTTAGAGTGTTAGACTCTTATTGTATATCATTTTATTGAATTATTGTTACTGACACATTAATATGTAAGCATTTGTAAAGTTGTAGTTTGTCAATGTGGTTGCTTTATTTAGGCCCACTGTTGGACTGTTTATTAATATTCAGCAGTGTATCATATTTTATAAGCTGATACTATGTTTTGTATCTATCTGTAAAGTCAATTGTAGCCAATAACTATAAGTACAATATTTGTCCCTGAAATGGAGTAGAGAAGATGTAAGAAGTAAAAGAAAAGAGGAATACTCAAGTAAAGTTAGGTACAGAGTAAATGTGTTATTTTTCATTGATCATTTTTAACAGGAAAAAAAAACAATGACAACAGTAATAAGGACAAACATTTACATAAAAAAGATATGTGGAATATAGGAATATAACAACAGAAATGCAATATTACTAAAGCAAATTTTAAATAAATGTTGTAATAGTTTTTCATAATTAATCAAATTCATTTATTTGACAAGAGCCAATTGAACAAGTGCTGCTGAAGCTGAAAATTACTGCAAATAAACACAATTAACATAATGTTTTATAGCTACTTTTAAAAAAATATGCCCATTGCAGTACAATTACAACAGTTTCACTTAGAGAGGGTAACTTCTAATTTTTCACATGCAATGACACAAACACACACATGCTGCTGATTTAGAATGTAACCGTGACCAATAATGTTAATAACACTTAATAATACTCTCTATGAGATGGAGGTACAAATATCGCCTGATGCACACTCTTACTAACCCTCTCAGGAACACACACTCCAATTCAGCTGAAGACATTATGAGCAGCAGACAGAGCAGCAACTCAACCATGCAAGCTGGTGCACTGCAGTGCTTTTAATGTCTTTGTAAAGAATTCTTTGACAAATCTAACATCTTGATGCTGCTGTGTGTGTGTATGTGTGCCTCTCATGTCAACTTTTAATTGACAAGTGATCAAAACATCACTTGCATTTGACTTTTGGATGCATAAGTCGAGTGTCTATGGTGTTTTCCTCTCAGACTGACATTGGTGGAATAAACATGCTGCCCTCACTGAGCTCGAGATAGCCTTTTATGTTGTTATCACAAGTTTCAACAACCCCAGGTCCCTCAAGCAAGGAATTACTTTCTATGACTGCATGCGTGAGTCTCTCCCACTCCTCTCAACTGTCTCTCCCTGTCCTCCTGCCACTCTTCACTCCTCTGTCCTGACTTTCCCTTCCATCTCTCCTCTCGATCCTCTTCCCCTCTATCTCTGTCGTCCAGTTATTACAACAAGAGCACTGCCCTCGCCTGCCCCAGCCTAAGCACACACTCGCCAGGCATTCCTTATGTTGCTCCGCTCAGCAGCGGCAGCAGCAGCAGCAGTGTCCTCCTTTCCCCTCTACCCGCTGTGGCTGTGCCTCTTGCTCCTGTCTCCAGGGGTCGTCAGTTTGCCATCGGCCCCCTCTGAAGTGGTGAGCCACAGAGATCACTGCCTGATCTCAGGTGACTTGAAGATATTTTTAAGTGATGATGTTAGACATGTGAAATAAAGACTTCTACTGACTCCTGCCCCTTCTAAAATAGGCAGGAGAGGAAATGCAGAGGACATGTGTGAAATCTAGACTTTCAATAGGAAGATACTAGAGAGAGACTGCTCCAAGAGCAAAATGAAGAACCAGTGAAACATGGAAGCGTAGGTCATCTGAATGACGTGTGGTATGTAGGGTGTAAGAGCTTCAGCATTTCATGCATGTGCATTACACAGACTCACAAAGACAAACACAAGTACACACTCGCAACTGTCATTTGCATGGTTTGAGGTTTTGGTCAGCAGAGCTCTTGGAGGGTGTGGAGTAGAGTAGTGCAGAGTAGAGTAGAGTAGAGAGAGAGAGAGAGAGAGAGAGAGAGAGAAACAGAAGAGTGGAAGGGTGTAACACAGAGTGAAGGCCACTGAGATGCCTTCTCAGCCTGGAGCTATTTCCTGTGGACAAGCTGCTGGCACCATTACTGTTTGTTTCCAAGGTCTCTCTGGACATGTTGTGAGAAAATCATATATGTCACTGGAAACTGGAAATATGTTGCACAAAAGAAAGAATGAATAATGAATTTTAAAAAGAAATATGATTAAGTTTGGAGGAGGAGTAAGTAAATGCATGGAGGACTGCATCATTAAACCAGAATGTCTCCATTGAGTATTGAGTAAATATTACACAAAGATCGTTTTCCTTCTAACAAGGGTCTGCAGCCATCAGCATGCTAATGTTCACAATGACAACGTTAACATGTTGATGTTTAGCATCCATCCTGCAGTCCCTATAGAGCCGCGCCGCTAGGTAAGAATACCTTTTGCCTTCTTACAGACCTGCTCAAGCCTGTGACTCCCAAATGATTATTTTGTCCAAAGATTTAAGCAAAGAATGTTACCTTGGTAAGATAAGGCTTGCTCCAGAGGTGAAAGTCTGGTATTTTTTCCTGTTCCTGGTCACTTCCTTTTGGACTTTAGCCCTCAGATGTAAAATTACCATTTGCTGAGTTTCAGCCCCTCTGACTGCTGCCTACTGTAAATGGATGCCTGTCTCACACACTCTTTTACTTATGATTGAAATAAAACAGCTATGCCAACCCCCTCTTTAGTGTTCTGCCATCTAGAGACATGCTTGGGATTGGTATTTGTATGTGCACAATGAAGCAAATAAAAATGGTGGCGTCTTCTATGACCCAACATAAACCGGAAGTGACACAAAGTACTCACCATTTGATCAGTCTGATTGTGTCATAAAATGATAGGATTAAAGGTGATTGAATTAGAAAAATAACACTTATCCAACGGTAGCACTTTCCTTACTAGTCCCTTTGCCCTTCAAACACTTAAGGTGCATTTTATTCTTAATTTGCTATTCAGCAAGCTTACTTATCAGGGAATTTTAATACTTTGACATCTGTGCTGATATGCATAATTCACTGATTTAGAGGGCAGCGGAAGTTATATATTACACCCAAGGAAGTGATATGCGTGATATCAAGTATGCAGAAGATATATTAAAAAAAATACATCATGTTCCCACAATTTTATATTTAAATGATCACATACTGTAGCTCAGTCTTATCTCTTAACATGCTAGTGTCAAGTGAGGAAAAGCCACATTTTAGAGGCGTAATTACATTTTTATGGCATGACAGAGAGGAGAGAAAAGCAATCAACCGTTATCTGATAACTTTATTATCAAGTTAAAAAAAGACAATGAATTACAATATTTACAGAATATCCAGAGATAAATGGAATAAAATTGTAAACAATCATTCTAGGCAACATCACAACCCACCATCAGGTAATCAGATTTATATGGGAAGAAAGGCAAGAAGGAGAGATTCTAGTGTCAAACTATGGAGACAACAGTCTGAAAAGAGAAATGCATCGGAAACAAACTAAACATATATACAAGTATCCAGTGTGTTGTCAGCAGGGGTTTAACTTTGGGTAAACTGGGAATATTACAGTCTATAGACTGCACACAGTGAGGGATTCATAGTCATTTTCTATTCAAATGATCACAGAACAACAAATAATTTTGGGTTGACAGCTTCATTACCCAGATTGTCCCAATTTATCATCTGGTTTACACTGGGCTATCAAGCTGGGTGATAAGCTGCCTTACAAAGCTTATTACTACAACAACAGTTTTTCAACAGTTTTACTTTCAAAAAGCTACAAGCTGGTCCTGTAAAACACAAAAAAGGGCTTTGCGATTCAGCACCAACTCAACTGGTTTTTAAAGTATTACAAGGACTGAGGAGCAGAGTGGGGCTGCTATAGTCCCACCTATTGTTGACTGGGTAGACTAAGGGCAGGCCTCCTTGGAGCAAGTGAGCTGATGCCCTTACTGGCCATGGACAGAAGATACTGGAGTGTCAGATTGTGGATTAGACATATGTGAGCTAGATCTGAGAGGGATCTACAGGTTGACTGTCAACCCAGCCAAGCCCAGAAAGAGACAGAGCAGTTTGAGAAAATGCTCCCAAAGGAACTCATTTTTTTCTTGTCTCTTACTTTCCCATGTTTTTCTTCTTCAAAATAAAAGCCCTGACCATTAATCATGAGAGAACGGCATCATTTTCCTTCATGTGTTTAAATATTGTACAACCACACTGCTCTTCCTATCTGCTCATTCCCATCACAGTACAAAAAAGGAGATATTTTTCATCGTAACCAGACATTGTACAACAGCGTAATAATGTTGGATTGGGGACTCAAAAAGCCCCGAAGGGTAATCTATCATCTTTAGATTTATTTTTTTTTCATTTTTTAAAAATAAGAACACCTAAAGGAAAAAAGGGTTAAAGTATCCTTTCTGAAACACCACAGTTCAAACACTTAACGAGTAGTTTTTGTTTTCTATACATGGCTGCAAACATGTAGTTTACCTGGGTTCCACCAATAGAACTCTAATTCTAAAATTCTATGGTCCAAACCCAGGTTTCCCATTTCAATCAAAGGTTCAATGCTCAGGAAAGACAATCACAGCAGCAAACACAGCAGGCTTGGTAAATATTTTGGTACCAAGAACACAATTAGATTAACCGTGTTCCTCTACAAATTAGAAATTCTAGTTATCAGTCATATTATTTCAGACTGTTTTTAACGTTGCTTATTGGTCTTATTGGAATTTTTTTTGGACATAAATTTGACTTAATTGCTATTCACTTCTTTATAAGGCTTTAGGGCATTCAAGCAGCAAATTCCAGCAAATACAATCTCTGCCTTTTGTCAATATCAACAATAACACAACAACTTTGTCTAAAAAGAAGCACACAAATGCAGGCTATGACAATTGTGTCAACACAGGGTGAGAATTTAAAGGGGTTTAAGTTTGGGGGATTTGACACCTTTGAAAAGTCAATCTTCAACGTACCCAGTGGCACATATACTCTATGTATGTGGACACAAATGGTTTCATGGCCCTGACCTAGTTACACTTGTCTTTTCAGTGTATCCCATCATGTCAAAACTGGACCATAGACTGTAGACTGTATGAAAAACACGGCCACTGTCTGTGGCATCAGCCCAACGTTTCATTTTGAAGCCTGGATTTGAGTTTGCCTGGATGCTCCATGCCAGCCTGTCAGTCATTTGGAGATCCAAATATGGACACTGTGGAGGAACCTGGATGGAGTTGAGGTAATCACCAGGGCTGACTGTGAAAGGCCAAGACACCTGACAATCATAGCTTTAAACATACCCATTTTAGCATGGAATTTCATTTGTGGTACTCACATCATCAAAGAAAAAAAGAAAAACAGAAAAAAAGAAAAAGAAAACCACACACACACTAGCAGCACTTTTTTCCCCGTAAATAAAGTCCTCCCCTTTCCTCCATATAATAAAGCAGAACACGTTCTCAACAAGTTTCATGAGGACTATTTATTTGGTTGAAAACAGTTCCAATGAAAACTGCTCTAATTTTCCAATGCTGTGAGTTTAACAGATGAAATTCCATTCACTTCCACTGGATCAGGGTGGCAGCAGAAATCTCAGAGAAGGAGATCTCCAACCTCTGGCAAATAAACAAGCAATTACCACTAGAGGTTGATGAGAAAATATATAATTTAAAAAAAAAATCTGGTTCAAACCAGAGCTTTAAGCCTCAACATCCTCTTTGTTCTGATTTCGGTAGATGCTTAACCGTATTTTGTTGTTACAATAAAGCTGAGTTAAATTTGATCTAATCTGATCTTAACTAAATAACGACTCTCAAAACTGCCACTAAGGCACACATTAGGAAAAGTGAAAACAGATGTTGAGGCCATAAATTCTTGTGGGAATAAATCCTGACTTTATACTTTGAGAGAGAAGTTTTGAATTTTCCTAGTTACTTCAAAACAATTGGACTTTTTTTTAAACAATTAAAGCCATTTAGTGGCCATTAGAGGAACTGCATTTTAAGGCACTTGCACGCTGGCATCAGTACATCAGCCGTGATGGTGGACACTTTGGCTGAACATTGTGTGGTCCGATCCTGTGCACAGCGTGATCCAGTGAATCAGTCCGCATCCAGAGATGCACACACCATCTGCCATTAAAATGATGTGCACAGAGCTGGATTTGTGGCTCATCTCATCAAACATTTTACACTGAAAAGACAAGTGTAATCTCTGTGTCTTGGTCAAGATGCCACTAACCTGTTGTTATGCTCCAGGCTAACCCTTAACGGATACTGCTTTCATGTTACTCTTAACATATCTCTGTTGTTATTCTGACCTGGAGTGGAAACCTGGATCACAAACAACATGATATACTACAGGGAAAAGGACATTTAAAGTATTACCATTATTTCTATGATTATCAGTGAAATTACTGGACAATAAAATAGTAAAGTCAACATGAGAACGGTGCCACAGGCTGAAGGCTTATACGTAGTATAATATTAAGGGACCTAAAATATAGCAATTTGCTACAAACATTGGGGGAAATTGTCAGTATGTCTACGAATGAATAAAACATGATTTGTGATTTAGCTAAAATAGATAAGGTGCGACTCTTCCTCAAGGAAAACTTCTACACATTTAACACAAGGCTAAGATGAAAAAAGTCTCAAATTTCAACAAGAAACAAGAAAAGGTAGCTCTACAGTGGGCCATGGTTGTAAATGCTTTCATATCTTGTTTGTTTCTTCTAGGTAAATTTACAGTGCCCCTGTTTTTGGGTGAGCAGGGGGAAGGGGTGTAAAAGGTGCTTCAAATAATAAAATGCTAAATTTAGTTTATCATTTTGGACAAAATTCTTTATAAATAGCTTAGTTTTATCTAGGTGGGATCTTTCACTGTAGATTTGACCAGAATGTCAGCAATAAAGAGTTCTGTTCACTATTGGTTACCAATATATTAAGATCTGTCCTAGGGGACCGCTCATGTAAAGAGCTCAGCCATTTTTATGCAGCACAACCTAATACTTATATATGTAACACCTAAAATCTAATAATGTGCCAACTCATAAGAAGTCACTTTTTTTCCATTTCAATCTTTTTGTTTCCTTTGACGTTCTATTTTAAAATCCAACTCAGTGCTGATACTACCCATTGTTACTGTTTTCTAGCACAATATCCCAAGAGGCCACAATCTGTTCAACCAAATTGTTGATCCTTTTTGGTGTCGAGCATTTCTTTGTCCTCCATATACTGGCTTTGACTTCTCAGTGATAGATCAGCAGGGTTCCCTTCCTCTTTTCTGATGCTGGACATGTCCAGTCCTGTGTCCATCAGGACAGAGGAGCCAGTGGAAGATGAAGCTGAGGCCTCTATTGCTGCAGTGGTGCTGGTGTCCATCCGACTGTTGTTAACCATCCTGAAAACGCAAGAGGGCGCAAAAATAAGTATGAAAGTAGAATCGTCAACATGCAGTACAGTCTGATATAGTCTAATTAGAATAATCTACAGCCATGCTAGAGGCTGTACTGTGGTGCTTTGAGCTAAATGCTAACATGCTCAAAACACCCATGCTAATATGCTGATGTTTGGCAGGTATACTATTTACCATGTTCACCATCTTACTTTAGCATTTTAGCATGCTAACATTTGCTAATTAGCACTGTACACAAAGCACATCTGAGCTGCCCCTGATTATAGAGGTAGGCCTGGCTGGTTTTGCCGGTATTAGGTTGTAATTCAAAGTACTGAACAAATGAATAAACTTGACCTCATGATGGTGCTAGATGGAAAGACTGAGGATCATCAAAGTTATTAGATTTCATTCTGAAGGGGGGGGGCTAGGAATGCCTGTGCCAAATTTCATGGCAATCCTACAAATAGCTCACACACAAAGAAAGAGAGAGAGAAGAAGAGAAAGAGAAAAAGGAAACAAATACTAACATGCCATGTCGAAGGACATGTCGTTCCCACTCGAGGCTGTTGGTGAAGCATCGGCCACAGAACTCGCAGGGAAGACGCTTCTCGACAGTGCTCGGCCCAGAGCTGCTGCTGCTGCTGCTACTGCTGGTAGGAGATGCAAGGACCTCTGGGAAACAGAGTTCAAATGATTGGTTAGTCTCAGAATACAGCAAATTCACATGTGTTTATTTCCTATTTGTAACTAAATCTGAAAACAGTAGAAACATTTATTGCTAGAGTTAATCATTAATATGCAAGTAGTATTCCATAAGTCATTTTACACCAATCACCAAGTAAAAATGTGTAGTGTATTAGAAATGAATGTTGCCTCCTTGGTAGACCAGTGTTAGTGTTAGCTTGTGTTAGTTCTACTTTTTCCTTCAGAGAGCAACCAACACCAGTCAAGTATATTCAGTGACTTGTAGCCTAGGAGAATGAAATAAAGAAATCAATTCAGAATAACAATGCGAGTTTGGTTATTTTGGAAGACAAACAGTGCTCCTGAAGGACAGCTAAAACACATTAAAAATCATATGTATGTCATGGGACTTCCAAAATAAACAATATTCTGGAGGTGTAATTGTCTTCTTACTTATGAGCACATTTATTTGGCTTCATCCAGTATGAGACACTGGAGAATTTTTTTTTTTTTTTTTATACACAGATCACAATTTGAAATGAAATAATTGAGAACATGATAGCAAATGGCTTTTCACCAGATACACATTTACAGCCTGATCCCAGTAGGTTTGCTAGGAAAGCTGCTGTGAGATGAGCTCAAATGCAGCAGTTGAATAGCATTCAGTCGTGGTTTTGACTTGACGGGCCAGGTGTGAAGTAGACTTTATATTTGTTCTTTCAGCAAACATCAGCCATTGTACTTGACAGCACAGTGTGAGACATTGTTTTTATTCTTCCTGCCTGTTTTTTAGTTGAAATACTGTTGTGTTACTTTGTTTATAAATGGATATGGATTCTGTCTGTCTGTATGACTGAATGATAAGTAACATAATAGGTAGAGACTTGTATTCAGCCAACAGAACAGCACTTCACTGATGATCATCTGTATTTACCTTGTAGGGCTGGCTTTGCTTCCTCCACCCCCTTAACTTCCTCCTCTTCTTCTTCCTCCTCCTCCTCCTCCTCGTCTTCCTCTTCCTCTTTGATGTTGTCCCCTATCTCTTCATCATCCACCTCTCTCTGTTCATGCACTATGTTTTCCATGAGTTCCATTCCTTCGTCGTCGTCGTCCTCCTCTTCTGTTGGAACTTTTCCATCTACTACCATCTCAATCATTTCTCTCTCCTCTTCCTCCTCTGCGCTGCTCCCGTGTTCCTTTATCATCTCCAGCTGGTCCAGGTTGACTCGGCCCATCAGCTCAAAGTTGCGGATAACCTGATCAGAAACAGGAGGTATTTGTCATTTTGGTATAGTGTGCTCTGAGCTGCATTCATATCGGAGAACTCGCTTTTTTTCATTTTCTTTTCTAATGCAGCTTGTTGAAACCTTCAAAACGAAAAAAATGAATACATGATTTTGAGGTTGATTGTTCTTGTTATTTGCCATTTTTCTATATAACATTTACCACAGAAGCTCAAGAATGATACCCTTCCTTATTAGTAACGATTATAAAATCTCTAAGTAGTTTATTCAGATTATTACAACTGGGTTGAAACACTAAATGTGATGTTTGTTTGTCCCTAGTTGTTTGGTTCTTCGTGTACTACCGTACATTAGCTGTGTTTCTTGGATCTATGGTCATTAATTGTGACACAAAAATTTATACCCCACATTTACTCAATATCAAAGCCATAGTGAAAACAAGTTAATGGTTTTTTTCAGAAGCCAATTTTTCAACTTTATGTTCTGAGGCAAAGACACTGCTATAAAAGTTTCTGGCAGAAATTTATTTTAACCCCAAAGTACTAAATCAACAGAGATAGAAGGCTTTTGAAGATGAAGGTCGGTCTCAGTTAACAGTCAAATGCTCATGTTTTCACTGATCTCATTAATAAGATGTAATTTGAGAGAATTAAAAACGGAGCATCTCTGGAACAAGATGTGTATTTGTACACTGTATAATACAGGTGTTGAGTGAGCTAAAATGATCTGAAACAAAGATGGAAGGTTTGATAACAGCATTTGCTCATCTCATTGCTTATGCAACTTGTTGTACAGTAAATTATGACACTCCCTCTGAGTAATTCCCTCCTCCCATCCTCCCTAAAGACCCAGAGCTGGAGCCTGCAATCCACTTCCCTGCAGTGTCTGTCCCTCCGGTCTCCCTACAGTGGATGAGCATGAGCAGTGGATGTATCTCTCCTTTATCGTTTTAACAACAGATACTCCCAGGTCTACAATGGATATTCAAGCGTTTCCAACACTGAAGCATACATTAATAGTATTCCTACGGCAACAAAATAAAAATGAATTTACTGCCTGATGCGCTATTAAGACCTACAACTCATTCAGACAGAGAAGTGCTAAATGATTGCTCTGTGTCGCTGATGACGAATGAGTCACAGCTTTTAAATTATGGCTTGGCTTCTTGAAGCCAGCGGTCATACTTGAGGCAGATTAGAAATATCTACAGGCTGCCCTCTTTGCTTCCTTGACCTTCATCTACCAAACATCTCGACGCTTCTTTACCAAATGATGATATGAATGAGGAGGGTGTTCAACAACGCTGAGAGCCACAATTAAAAGTGCACTTATAAATAAGAATACAAATTCATAACTATAAGACCTCTCCACGTTCATCTGATCAAAAAAATTACACACTTTGTCTATTTCACAGAGCTCTGGTGCTCCTTCTCCTCACTGTACCAGAGATACTTGGTCCCTCCTCCGACCTATATCAGATTCTTCCTAATTTCCAGAAATATCAAGTCCCTCCCTCTCGACAACGGCAGGGTTGGTCTCTTCACCCGAGATCCACAGATGCCATATTCTGCCACACAGGAAATACTAAACTGTGGCTGTATTATTTCTCTTATCTGTATGTGTTAATATTTTAATCATCCATTCATCCATTATCTATAACCTGCTTTAGGTAAAAGGTGGGCTGGACATCCCAGCATGCTTTGTGTAAAATCAGGGATCCAGTCATGTAATGAATGAAAAATGATAACTGGGTGCCCTTTAAAGTTTAATGTACTGTAAACTCCTAAAATACCATCTGCCTTCTCACATCATCTCATGAATTATCTCCATTAAGGGAGGCTGAGAGATGAAACCTTCTTTCCCCCTGGATGTTGTTACAGTATACTGAAACTTGAGCCATTTGATATGTATGCACCTACCTCATCTTATTCTATTGTATCAGAAGCCATTTGTCTGCTATTTCTATCTCCCTATATGTCAAGGCACAGCCTAGAGTTTAATTTTAGATTTATTAGCTTGTGTAGAAACGCTTCACTTGAAAAAGACATGCAATATTTAAATATAAAAATAAGTTTGTGGGCCAAATTAAAAACATTAGAAAGTTTACATACTTTCAAACTCCTGATTGACTTTATGCTCCACTGTAATTCGAATCTTCTTATGAGTTCTCATCTAATAAAGCTTAATTAGACATGTTCATAAATACCATACACACATAATAGATGGTAGCTGCAATGGGATGTTTTCCCTGCCTAATATTAAGATGGACTGATTTGGATTTTAATGTGAAACTGCTGCAGGAACTGTTTACTTGCAGTCACTGAGAGTAGCTTGTTAACATTTGACTGATGTTAGTGGTTAAGCTACTATATAATTATGTCTCTTTGTAAAGTGATCAGTTTCACACAAGTAAATATGCTTTGACACTGGCTGAATGTAAAACACCCAAGTAAACAAAGCAATTCCCTGTGTTGTTGCTGCATTCAATCTCTTAAACATATTTTATTGGGTATTGATTGTTGTTGTTCCAATCTATCTGCATCCGCACCCTATCTGCTGCTTCAAAATGTGATTACAAGAAACATTTAACACTTTCTGAATGTAGGTTCCCTTTACTATTCTGCTGTGTTCATTTCCACTGTACTTTGTTGGCCAAAGAAAAAAAACTCTTTTTACTTGCCTGATTATATAAATCATTTCTTGAAAAAAAGAAGAAAGAAAATAATTAAATAATTAAAAAGGTCTGAGTATCTGGGGGTCAAATGTTTACAGGATATCTGTTGTTTACAGTTCAGCTGCTGATTACTGAGGATAGGTTTGATTTAGGAATTGTAAATCGGCTTTGCTGTCATATGTGATCTTTCAATACTGTGGGAATATGGACAGGCAGAGGTCTCATAATCAACTCCCATAAAAGCAGCAAAGGCCATATTTGAACAGTTGAAATGACAGAGTGTATAAGTTGTAAACAACTCATTCTACAGCCATTAGGAAAACTAATGATTAAAAGCTATTCTTACCAGTAAAACACATTCTCTGACTCTGATTTTGATGGTAATAAGTCAGAGAAAAGTCTTTTATCTGCAAAATGAGGCCATCATTTACAGTCATGACGGCCATATTCCTCTTACTTTTTAAATCATATTATAGAAACTAATTACATAAAGTATATCAATTTTAAATTTGGTTACAGAAAACTTCATATCTGGACTCCAACAGACCTTGTGCTCAAGGCGGAGATGCTCCTCTAGCTGACTCCGTCGACTGCTGTCATAATAGCAGAGCTGGCACTGGTAAGGCTTGATCTCAGCGTGCTTCTGCAGGTGCAGCTGCAGGGCCTGGTCACTCGAGCATGTGAAGGTGCATTTGTGGCAACGAAATACCAGGCCCTGAAGGTGGCGTGACAGCTTGGAGCGGCTGACCTCCAGTGGAGCCACTCGCTCCTCTGGTGGAGGAAGAGGAGAGAGTGATGTGGATTATTAGGTCGGAGGACGGGAAGAGAGGTAATGGTGGAGCGGAGGAAAGGCAAAGAGGAACAGTGAGAGCTATAAAGACAGAATTGGAAGAGGAGATGTGGGGGCGCAGGAGAGATATCAAATAACATTTGTCCACAGACACACACACACACAGACACACACACACATGCACACCACACACAGAAAAGTGTAATCACAGTGCCTATTACCTTTCGGTGGTTTTGTCATTTTCTCAGTTTGAACACAAACACACTTCTAGATAACTGAAGACAGTGTCATAAAAAAAAACTACCCAAACACTCCAAAAAGTTTGATCAACTCCTCAGTTCCACGTTTGCTTGTTTTTTTGTCAGTTTCAGTTCTCATGAAAGTTCACATATACAGTAAACAAAATGCCTTCATTATTATCATTATTATCATATTAACATATCCACATTACTTGTCACTGTCAGGATGCGAGGCCCCCAGAGGAGACTCTGCCTCCTGTTTCAAGTCTATGCTAAGCTACGATAACCCTTTCCTGGCTGAGTCAGACATGAAAGTGATCTCAGAGAGAGTCTAATCATCTAACTGGCTAGATATAAAATAGATCTATTACCCAGTGTGTCGAACTATTCCTTTTAAAGAAAGTTTTTCCGGGTCCCTGATGCGTACCTCTGTGCAGGACAATGTGGTCAATCATATTGCTCTTGTGTTTGGTGTGGTAGAGGCAGAGAGGGCAGCGCAGGTCTTTAGGGAGATCCTCAGGTGCATTGTTGTTGTGTCCGGCCTCCACATGCATGCTGAAGGTATTCCTGAGACAGATTGACAGGCAAACATCAGTCGACTACCAAAATTAGTTTGTCTATGTGGTGCGCTTGTACATTCATCTAGCATCATCTATATTCTGATAAACAAGATAACATAGCATACTACATCTCGGCCATTTTCCTGTTTCTCTCTGTCGAGGTGAAGTGTTCTCTTACTTGTAGCATGTGAAAAAGGAACAGTCTTTGCACTTGAAGAGCTTCTTGCCACCGTGGCGGTCCCTGTAGTGGCGGCGAAGGCTCTGCATGTAGCCAGAGCTGAACTCACAGAACTCACAAGTGAGGACGCCGTCTGGTCGATGGTCAGCCACTGTCGAGCCACCGGGCATCGAGCCGGAAGACATTTGACTGCGGGAGGCCAGCTGGTAATGACTAAGCTGCTGACGAACATCGGCTGGCTCCAGGTACGATGGATCTGAGAGAAGTATAGAGACATTAAGAAAACTTTATTATGCGGAACTTCTCTGTAGTTTGGAGCAGTGGTGGAAAGTACATTTACTCAAGTACTGTACATTTCATGCCACATTACACTTCTACTCCACTACATTCACTTACTTGTCTATTACTCAAGAGATTAAAATACATGGATTGTTAAAGATAAAACCAGTTTTGGCTTGTGACTTTCTACCAGAGGACACATTTCCTCTTAAAATCACATGGTTTCATTTAAATGAATTGAAACAGACAAAATGCAAAGATTACAGAAAAGTCTAAAGCATGAATACAGTACATTTGTTTGGCAGAACTGAGTTTTTTTTCTCATTTATTCACCTCACAACCTCAAATTTAGCGTGTGACTCTTGGAGAGGGCCCAACCCTCCAGGTTGGTAAAACCACTGGTCTAAACTACTGAACCTGATACTGTATAAAGTTGTTAAATTATATATCAGTTGCAGGGGCCATTTACGTTTGATACTTTCATTACATTCAGCTGATAACCTTCTGTGCTTTTACTTCTAATTGAATATTTTACATTTGTGTATTGGTATTTTTACTGAAGTAAATAATGTGTGTACGTCTACCACCTCTGGTCAGCAGATATTATTATGACGACATAATGTTTTAGCATAGCACCAAATATATTCACAGGCTACTGAGTATATTTATATTATTATTATATTAGTATCTTAGTATATTTCTCTTTGATGATTATTTTCTAACATGGAAAGGCAGTAACCATTCTTCATGAATGAATGAATGCTAATTTCAAGAGGATTTGGGAGCTAATTTTCAACCCACAATAGCCACTGTACATCTGAGACTTATGTTATACCAACACGGTTTTTGCGCAGCAGGATGGAGTTTAGCCTACTTTATGTATCTTCTCCAAATTGATTCTTTTTGTGAGAGATGTCTGATTATTTCTTCAAAAAGAAAATCCATGTTTTTAATATTTAATAATAAAAAAAGAAAAAAAAGCTATGAGCAGACTGCAGTGGATCTTTTCCTTTCTAAAGGAGACACGACTATCCAGAAATTGAGTTGCGCTCACACCAACTGTCCCCTCCCCTCTCACGGATACAGGAGTGTAACTGTGACTGTCATCATTCGTCCCCGACCATTTTCCTTCCTCATCCCCTTTCTCATGAGCCTACAGTGAGCGAGCTCATCTTCTCGTCCTACTTTGAGCCTCCGACACATCAATAAATAAACCACAGTGACACTAATAGAATATCTATTCATGTGAAAAATGCCTCATTCAGCACTCAGAGTATGAGGAAGCATGGAGGGGGAAAAAACTTTACTTTTTAACTTTTACTTTATAAAATGCTTGAGATCCAATTTCTCAGAGCCAGAGGAATTCATATGAATCAAACAATGCCACAGTTGGCTCATGCTTTTAATATCCTCACTGCATTGTGGAGATGTATGGAGATTAGATAGCAGATGGAGAGCAAATTTTGTAGTCAGGTAGTGGTGTGTCTTCTTGAATGGATTAAAGGCCAAAACTGTCTATTCCAGCACACTGCATAAATGACAGGTGGATTACTTGTGTGAGGAGTTGAAGAAGACAGAGGAGGAGGAGAAATATTTTAAGGATGGGGTTGGATTTCAAAGAATTTTCATAGTTTTGGGCAGGTGCAGGTGGAAACGTTGAGACAAACCACAGCTATATTCAAACCATTTTTTTTGAAAGAAGTTTAAGTAACCATCCCTGCTAATGAGAAGCAATCAAATAGTTAAACACATTTCACTGCCAAAATAAAAGCACAAACTCTCTATTCCACCACAAACATCAGACTTTTAGACATTCAACTGAAGGTAGCTACTCTGGTGCGGTAGAGAGACATTCAGTGTGTCAGCTCTGCTCTTTCTCAATGCTTCATTTGTCTTGGTGGGGCACAGCTGACAGTGGTGGTTGGTGCATTGAGGAATGCTGCCCTGCTTCAGCTCCAGGGAAGATTCCACAGCTCCAGCAGCAAGGTAACAGCTGCTGCCAAGAACAGTCTGCAAGCTACAGCAGTGGCTGCACGGACACTAAAACACCTAAAACATGGCATGGCATCAACCTACAGCGAAGGTGCCTCCTTAGTGGAATATATTCTGCAAAGAAAAGTGTCGCATAACAACATTAAAGAAACTGAGTGAAACCGAATCTGAGCCATCAGACTCTTAAATTCTCATATAATTTATTCAATCTGTGCACATAACCCTCTCCCAGATAGAGTGAATAAGATACAGACTTGTTGATGCTGATGTTTGGAGATGTAAACAGGAAGTAAACTTTGCTATGGTGTCAACTTGAGCCCTGTCTATTTTTATTTTTTTTTATCCTAGGTTTGTTTACAATTTGGAAAACTGGCAGCTTGAACAGTTTGTTGAATTAGCTACTAGCAGTTCCTGTTTTCAGTGTACCCATGGCTGTACAGACAGTTATTACTGGATTAGTTTAATACTGAAGAAAACTTAAAAATGTGATGATTCTCGGGCAAGTTCTGGAGTTATTTCAAAGCAGATTTATGGATGTTTATCTGCGATGGACCTCAGAGATGCATATACTCAGAAAGTTGTCTAAAATATGTCCATCATGTCTGTGAGTTATGACTTTTTTTCTGTGTCACATTGGATTCTACTTTGATGCTCAATTGAGATTTTCCCAAAAAAAATCTGGCCTGACAAGTATCATATGACGTTATATCTATTTAAGTGATATTACACATGATCTCATACCATCTGAGGCCAAGGGAGTCTGTTCTGTGTTACTGGCCAGCCGGGAGGGCCTGAGGGTGGCATGAGCAGCCTGGGTAGCAGCCCGGAGTTTGGGGAGGGTCAGGGCCTCACCGTGGTCTCTCAGAGAGTGCTCCTTCAGCTGGCTGATGGTCATGGAGGAGAAGGGGCACGACAAGCACTTGTATGTGTGCTGCTCACCTGGAAGACAAACGGGGATCACAAGTCAGCAACCTGACAAGTTTATGAATACAAAAGGAATATTAGATGAGGGTTAGCAGAGACCTATAAATCACTGATAGTGAAGAAAAAAACATGGTAACAATAAACACATCCTCCACCACAAACAAAGCTATTCCCCTCTGAGCCACGCTGCAACAAATATGTCACCTTGCGCTCACTTAGCACTCCCCTTGGACTAATTAGTGTAATTTTGATAAAGAAAAATGTTGAGCTGCATTGTTAATCAAAGTTTCATCAAAATTTCATCAAAATTCAAACACAAATGTCTTGAGATATCAGACATAAACACAAAATTATTAACAAACGTATTAAGTCAGATCCACATTCAAACCCTTCAACTTCCCCTAGGCAATTTGGAAGTTACTGTACAAAGTAGAATTTATATTATCCAACAAAAACCAACAGTACAGTATGTTAGAAACACTACTGCTACAATGTGAAACTAATGTTGTTTTTATTAGCTAATTTGACTGCTCTTTGTTATTTCTCAGTTAGACCTGACCTGACACAAAGACCAACATTAAATGGAGTTTTGCAAGTGGTGAGAACAAAGGACAGTACTTCATTATGATTTATGCTCCTCCAGTTTATGACTGTGCTTATGCCGTTTTGGCTACTGTGCATGTTTCTGGCAAATGCTTTGGTAGAGTTTTGAATTTACCCAGGGGGGATTTACAGCATCTTGCTTCCTGTTTCTGCTGAATATATTTGCTTAATGCAAGCAGTACCCTGAGGAGTGAAGCCATTACTACCAAATCTGATCTGACTGTAGCATGTTCTTACCAGAAGCAGTTTAATAAGGAAGCCACTTCCTTATCGAGCTGCTTCTGGTAAGAACATATTGTTTGGAATAAGCCAGCTCCTGGGTGTGGATGCATCAATCCAAATGTATCATTAGCCAGTTCTTCTAGTCCATAACAGGCTGGACGAGAAGCAAGAACACAAAGGTAAAGAACTGAGCCACAGTGATGAGATTTAATGTATATATACTTTTTTTTTTACCACAAAGAATAAAAGTGAATGTCTACATAATCACCAAACTCCACTTTTCAAATGTAATCACAACTCAAAATTGGTTTGTCTCAATTATCCACAGCAGTTGTTAACTCTTACTGCAGCTTCGTGTTGGCTCCAATCAGACAGTTGAGAGCACTAATCCCGCTGAAAATTGGCCTTTCTAGTTTGCCAGTTCTACAATTATTTATTTTGCTCGTGTATTGATTGCTCAGGTGGAGCTTTTCTTTTTTTTTTTTCTTTTTTGCATTTCTTGAATGCCTATGTCTTTGGATCAATGTTGCCGTCTGGCTCGCTCAAAAAACAAAAGCGATCACAGGCGGAGAATCACATCTAAGTAAAGACATCTGTATGCCTCCACCTTTGTAGCATTCTGAGGATTTCTCCACCATATTCCCAAATAAACAATATTAACAATATATTCATATGTTTGTGCTTAAATCTGGGTCCAAATTTGATTCATTTGGATGTGCTTAATTAGGTGTGTCTAATGTACTCAGTGAATGGTAAAACTGCTCCTCAAGCTAATCCACTGGTTGCATTATGCTGGATAAGATAAATCAAGCACAGCATCGTTATGTGGAGGATGATAAACAGGAAACTGCTATTCTGGCCCGGGAATACCTTGTTAGTCATGGATACAGCTGTAAGATGTGGTTTAATATATATATATGTGTGTTCTCGTGTGTGTGTGTGTGTGTGTGTGTGTGTTTACCTGTGTGTGCCTTATGCAGGTGGCTCTTCAAGCGACTCACGTAGGCAGATTTAAAGGGGCAGAGCTTGCACTTGAAGGGCTTGTGGTGCCCGTGGTGAGACTGCACATGTCTGTCCAGGCTGGCGATGAGACAAAATATTTATTAAAAAAAACAAAAAAAAAACAAAAAAACAAAAAAACAGAAGGGAGGATAGGATATGAGATAAGAGGATAAAAGAAGAAAAAAAATAAATGAAATGAGGACAAAAGGATAGCAGATAAAGAGAGAAAGTGATAAGAATAGGGTACAGGAAAGAAAGAGGCAGAGCTCTACTCTACAGCATCCACTTTGATGATTTCAACAGCGGGGTTTTCAGCAGCATCTAAAGCACTCAATTCTGTTTACCTCACAAACAACAGCCGCACATTTTCCAATGACTACAGAACAAGGAGCCGTGGGGTGAACTCATCTACCCACAATCCCCTGGTGGGAATGAGTGTGTGAGTGCCTGTGGGGACGGTGGCTGTGTTTTTAATGCCAGCCTCCTAGGTGGCATGGGAATGCGACTTCTTTCTGGGTCAGGGCACATACAGTACAGAGGTATTACACCTGGGAGCTCAGAGGTGATGAGGACTCTCTCCTTCCCTTTTGCTCTATGTCTCTGTGATGGATAAAACAAATCACACTACCAAAAATGTCTGCCTACGTTTAATGTTTGTCTCGCTCTCCTAGGAGGCAGGAAATCTTAGAGAAGATGGAGAAGAAGAGGATTCAAAGGGAATGTGACAGGGTAAACAGATCATGGTGTAAAACTGTGCTCTACACGAAATGAGTTTAACATCCAGCTGATTTGTAGAACAGCTGGTGGAAGTCTTGTAAGGTATACAAGGGCGAGGGTTTACAGTATACTTCTACCACAACTACATATATTGTAAGGCTGCAGGTATACTGATCTATCACCAAAGAGAAATGACACAGTTAATACATGGCTTTGTTCTCCTGCTAGATTTTACTGGCTGAAGTAAATTTGGCAGGAACAGAAACATTATGAGCCTTGTAAGTTATAATCAAATCAAACCCTGTTTATTATTTATAGTTTGCATTTTTACAGCAACAGTTATTCAATGTATTTACATTTTATATTTATCTCACTTTTTTAGTAGTTTTCATTGTTTGTGGTGGAGTCGCCACTCCCACACTTCGAAATTGCCTTCAAGGGATTCAGGATATGATGTATGTAACAGAGCTGTAAACTACTGCTGATGCAAACCAAATATTTCCTATATAATATTCAACTGGGAAAACACAGGGTGGCTTTTGTTGTGGCAAAGCCACAAGAAACACAATGTGTTTTTAAACAGACGTTTGCACTGATCACAATAGTTAATGAAAATTGTGTCTACAAAACAAGACATGGGGCATTTGGGTCTGAATTCTTTTCATCAGTGGGAGTAATAGAACAAGGAGCAGCCACAGTGAGCTGTTAGATGAAAAGCAACAGGGGAGAGCTACTTGTGCCATGGGCAACAATTATTCATGACTTCTCTGTTAAAACAACTTAAGTTTGTTTGGGTGCATTATGAAAAGACGCACCAGTTGCATTTCTGAGAGGGTAGCTGCTCAGTGAGTCTTGGCTGCAGTATTGAACTGAACTTGATGTTGCCAACATAACCAAAGCAACCAGGTCTAATAATCAGAACAGATCAATGTTCAATGGAAGATAAACACTGATAGAAAAAATCATAATAGTAAATATGTGTTTACTTTGGGCAATGTTGCCTAACTTACTCTAATTTACTCTTTGTAAAGCAGCACACAATACAGAGGGGGCGCTACTGTAGAATCAGTGTTAGAGGTGTCAATCATAGATCCTGCCCCTTCCTACTTACTTGTGCCTGAAGGGTGAGACGAACTGGCAGTACTGGCAGCTGTATTTGTCCTCTCTGCTGAACAGCGCCATGGCTGAGTGGCTCCTCTCGTGGGACCTGAGTCCCTGCATGGACATGAAGACTCGGTCGCACTGGGCACACGGGTGACCCCCTGCTGCTAACCGCTGCTTCAACTGGCCCTCTGACACCACGGCCACGAGGGCCGCTGCGCTTCCTTCAACGGCATCCATTTCTGGATCAACCGTCTCTGCGGCCACAGCAACACCGCCAGAAGCTGTGGAAACCAAGGACGGGCCCTCTGCTTCAGCTGCTTCATCCCCCTCCAGGTCGCCATTGGTTAGGCCCTCTGAAGGCAGGGTCAGGGGGACCTCGCTGACTTCCTGCTGCAAAACAAAGAGGAGAAGCCTCAGATGTTCAGTAGCTTTTCTGTGCCTGTTAGATTTTGTTTGTCAAAGTGTTTCATTATGCAGATGCACGACACTGCAATAACGAGTAAGATTAAGGATAATGTATCTGGATAGTAGTACCAGATGACAAACATAGCTGTACATTAAAGTATCACTTAGAATCTGGCACCTGTCACTCTTTTTACTGGATCAGACGCACCATATTAACAATGCATAAGCAACAGTTAAGCATCTGTCTAACACCTATGGTTCTGTCTATGCTTTGTCAGTACAATGATTTTCAGTTACATTGTAGTTAGAGCTCTCTCTCGCGCTGCTTCTTTTACTCTTACTCTTTGTAAATTTTTGCTGGAGTGCTGATCAACCTTCCATTAGCTTTACATTGGTTTGAAATACTCCAAACACTTGGCCAAACTGCTTCAAGCTGTGGTGTGAGCCTGTACGGGTATAAGATAAAACTGTTCTGGGAAAAAGTGAAAAACATAAGTTATTCGAGTCCGGCACAGACGAGCCTTAATCGTAAGTTTAACCAGCGGCTAGCTCCAGCCCTGACCTGAGACTCTGTAGTCCAAAGGTATTTATGGACACATGATACTCAGTATGATATTAAGTTGATAGCTGTATGCAAATGGAATGTGACAGGAAAATTTGAACAAGATCTCTTGAATCTGGCCAGAAGCTTTGTTACATATCATCCTAACTCTCCTCCGTCTTTTTATATATGTCTCAAACATACAACTCTTAAGAATAACAACAAATCTTTATACCAAAACCACAAGCATTTACTGTGAGTGACTAATAAACTTCTGCTGGCCACTAGACCTGATGATGAGGCCAAATCACCCATGTGAGAAATGAGAGGATACAGCACAGGTACAGAGCTTAAAGAGGATGCCTTACATATTCGCTTATCTACCAACAGACAAAACAAAACTTCCACATCAGTTTCTACTTCCTTCATCTGCTGGAGTGCAGGCTGGTTTCTGCAGTCGTCACAAGCACACAGACAATCACCATGACTTTTTTATTGCCTCAAGGAAGCTCATTCTTTCTGTGGAAGGACCTGACCCTGCACTTCATGCAGCCATAAATAAGATGTGGCATCCACAGGCCCAACCTTGCCATCCAGCCTGCCGTGACTGCACTGTCAGCCTGTTCTTCATCCAACTCTATCAGAAACCATTGCAGCTCTCGAATTGAAACAGTATTCGTGATACTATAAAAAGCAACGTTTATTTTTACCCTCTGCGATGTGTAAAACATACGGTCTGCTCCATCTGGTGGGAGATGTTGTACATGGACGTGGTCTTTGTGCTGCAGGCCATGAATGCTTACAGTTAAACCACCTAAACCCTGACAGGGTTAGTGCCATTGGCTACACAGAGCAACATTTCATTCCTGAAAGTGAAAGTCGCAACAGGAAGGCTCCCTTTTTGTTGGCAGATCTCAGTTGTCACTGTGAGTTCGGTGCGTCTTCACTCTCAGTGGCCCCAAACCATCTCATCTTAAATACATAAAAGACAGACTGAGCGTCTGACGGAAGAACCAGGCCTCTCCGTTTGGTGAGGCGTTGGATCCTTAGGCCTGTTCCCCTCACTGGCAGCCTCAGTGGAATACTAATGTTGGAATGGTTACCCGCCGCTGCCCTAAAAGTTATGGCTCACCACTCTGTCCTCCAACCCCCCCCACCCCCCCCACCCCTACTCTCTTCCACTGCAATGGGACAGCATTGCTTGTTTTCTCTGGGGGAAGCTGACAGACTGTCTACCCAGAAGCCTATGTCAGTAATAAACAAAATGGGAAACAGAGCACCCAAGCCCAGTAAAAGAGATCGCTGCAGAGCGAGGAGGAACAGGAGTAAGACAGAAACACTGGGGACCGACCAAGTGGGTCTTTCAAGTGTTGTTAATGTTAAAGTGGGAGTGATTTATGAATACTGTACATTTGTTTGATCTCTGAAGAAGTTGCTACCCAATTTAGTTGAGACATAGCTTGACATTTTAGAGGCTTATTTGCTTTTTTTTGATGTGTGTTAGATGAGACGACGGATACCACTTTCATATCTGTACGCTAAATATGAAGCTACAGCCAGCAGCTGGGGAGCTTAGCTTAGCATAAAGAGTGGAAATGGAGGGAAACCGGTAGCTTGGCTCTGTCTGATGTTAATAAAATCTGCACCTCTAAAAACAGCACCTCTAACATTAAGCAAACCAGCCGATGGCAGAAGCTTCATATTTAATGAACATCGGACATATGGAAGTGATGCCAATCTTCTCATCTAACTCTCAGCAAAAAAGCAAAGAAATGTGTTTCCCAAAATATCTATTATTATTTCTGCTATTATTGATTTCATGCATTTTACAGACAAGCAAACAGCATATGCCATTATACATGAAAAACATATTTTGAAAAGAACTTTAATTTTACCATAAATAAGGAATAATATTTATATATATTTAATATTGATATGTGGATAGCTAATATGAAAATATTCTAAATTAATGTAGCAAGTTCCCCACTGAAATGAGACAAATATAATGCAGTAACAGCTTCAGTTAGTAATTGAAGACTAAATCCAACTCCATTTACCTTGACATGTCCCTCTTTGACCTCTCCATACTGGACGTGCTTCCTCAGGTGGTTGCAGATGGCTCGGAGGGTGGGGTGCACCTCTATGCAGAAGTTACACCTGAATCCTATGGGAGTTTTATTTACAGGGCTTTCCTGTTCCGAAAGAAAAGTACAGAAAGAACCTGTTTAAGTTATTGTTTAATTTTTGTTTGACATCTTTTTAATTTGCATTTGAAAGTGATTTGTGACGAAGCTGTTTCTCTTAAATTACATTAACAGTGTAATTTACCTGAATCTAAACCAGCTGATGTATTTGCCACAGTCAGAAGATACTGCTATCTCTCTCTCTCTCTCTCTCTCTCCTCTATGAGATTGACCTTATCTCCAATAATACTGCCACTGTTCTCAAATTTCACATTCACTTGAATGGGAAAGTGGTCTCAGACTTTTGGACCCCACTGTGCTTTAAATGAGATCAATGGTATTTTTAATGAACTAATTATGAAACTAATTATCACACCTCATTATCATGCACTGTTATATACTCCTGGTGACAGTGAAGAGGCCAATCGAAATACATTATTATCTCTTTAATTATTTCGTCACTTCAGTTTTGGCAGAACTGAACTACTTAGGGTGCATCTGCAATGAATGTGTGTTTATAAAATCATGTTTGGATAAATTAACTTCACTCTCAGAGGTAGATAATGTCTTTCAGCTGTTTTGTTTTTAAACCACGGGAGCTTTTGACCTCCACGAGTTAAGGTGTGGCATTAGATGATTTACATTCTCTGATTGACAAGGTTTTAGGGAGACTTGTATCTTCACTCACCTTGTCAGGTCTGTTGTCAGGTAGCTCTGTGGCTTTCTGTTTGCTGAGAAGCTGCTTCCTCCTCTCCTGCCTCATGGCCCTCTTCTGAAACTCCTCACTGTGATTCAGTAGATGTCTGGCCAGAACTGGGAGAGCCAGGAACTTCAGCTCACAGTGAGAACACTGGTACAACTCAGAGTCCTCGTCCCCAGGACTGGGCGACACCATAAAGTCCCTCTTCAAGTCATTGCTGTGGTGGTCATTGTAGTGCATAGAGAGCAGCTCGCCTGTGCTGAAAGACAACCGGAAGCATTTTAGACACTTATATGGCAGCCACTCAACCTCTCTGTCCTGGTCGGGTTCAAGTGAAACCTCCAGCACTTCCTTCTCTTCCTCTTCCACAGCAATCTTCTCGGGTTCTTTGGCATAGATAACGGTAAAGTAGCGACCAAGCTTGCTAGCATGCTGCTTCTTGGGGAAGACACCTGGGTGGCGTTTAATGTAATGTGAGACAATGCTCTTCCTGCTGAAGGCCTGGAAGGCGCAAAGAGAACACCTTCGTCTCTCCACAGCCAAACGTAGGTCTTCACTCATTTCTGAATTGTCTCCCTCTGACAGCGGGGGCGCTATCACTTTGGCGGGCTTCTCGCTTAAAGTCTTGGAAGCAGCCAGACAATGGGTATAATAGGCATCAATATCATGGCGCTTCTGGTAGTGTGCTGCCAGGCCTTTGCGTATAGGATTTGTGTATGAACACAGAGCACATTTGAAGACATTGTTTTTACCCTCTGGCTGAGCACGGACATTGTTGTGCTTGATACGGTAGTGGCGAGCGATGCCTTTCCTGGTGGAACAGAAGTATTTGCAGAGTTGACACTTGAATACAGCATGTTTTTCTGTCTTATTGATGGGTAACTGGGAGAGGGCAAGGTCCAATTCACTGACCTCCTGGACTTTTGCTGCACTTGATAGATTACTAGCACTGCATTCAGCTACTGGCTCTGTGTCTTTACCAGAAGAGAAATTTGTCAGAGAGGGAGAGAACATTTCAGAGGCAGACTGATTGTGATACTTCTCATAATGGATTTTGAGTTTCTCCAGTGTCCCATGTGTGTACGGGCACATTTTGCATCTGTATGCGCCGTAGCCCTGCCTTTGAGTTTTGCACTTGTCATCTCCTTCATTTAAGTCAGTGATTTGCTCTATGTCATCTGCAAAATCTTCTGCTGTGACTTTCACTAACGGGTGCCTTTTCTGATAGTGGGTGAGGACACCATGGATGCGAGAGTTTACATATGGACAGTGACGACATTTATACACAGAACTGGGGTTGATGTCTGCCTCCTGTGCAAAATCTGCAGCTTTTACTTTCATGCCTGGGTGCTTCTTTCCATAGTGAGTGAGGAGGCCATGGAGACTGTTGTACTCTGACAGACATACAGTGCACTGATAGGGATTGTTAGAGATGGAAAGACGTGGGTGGGAAGGATGAGGATTGCTTTCTTGAGGTGGGGTGGCGATGACCAGCGCTCCATCATCTTCAATAGACTGGCAATTGAAAGACACGTGTTCTTTGGCGACCTGCTGGTGGATCTTTTCAGCTGAGCCATTCCCTTTGATGATATCCAACAGCACAGATTCATCCCCTTTGATGGCCCAGGGGTGGACCGCCTGATAGTGACTGGTGATGTCCCATATTGTACAGGCCTCAAAGGCGCAGTCTCTGCATTTGTAATGTTTGGTTTCCATATTGCCTCCTTGTTGTTGGGTGGTTTCCGGCCCAGCCCACAGCTTGCTGGCCATGTATGTGTAATCGACGTTGTGCTCAGGGTGGCGTCTTTGGTAATGGAGCAGCAGACCCTGGGGTTCAGCATGGGAGTAGATGCACCATTCACAGTGGTAGCCAGCCTCCAGTATGCCATCTTGGTAAGCCCAGTGTAAAATGGTCATGGCCGTGGCTTTCACAGTGGGGTGCTCTTTCTTCAGATGCTTCTTCAGGGCATAGACATAGGGGGATGTGTAGGAACAGTGTCTGCACTTGAGGTTACGCAGGGGCGCAGCGGTTTCAGGGTCAGGAGGGGCTGGGATCATGGCAGAAGAGACGCTACCCGACTGAACCATCTGTGCACGCTCACGCTGACTCCGGACAACTGCAGTGTGACGACGTACGAGGTCAGCGTTGGCCTTGGTTTCCCTGTGCTTCTTCTGGTAATGAATGAGCACTCCTTTTACAGTGCGGTTGCCATAATCACAGTGCTGACAGAAGAACAGCTCATCCTCACCTTTATCACCACTTCCTGGTTTAGGGCTCGAGTTGTTCGATCCATCGTGACCGTTATTTTGAAACTGCTTCAAAAACTGTTTGGGAGCCGCAATTTGCAATTCATCCATTAGTTTCATCAAACCAGGGGTGGGAGCGCCATGTTTGATATATTTTGCAGTTACTTTTACTTCTGGGTGTCTTTTCTGATAATGGACCAACACACCAACAACGGATCTGTTGCTGTAAACGCAGTGTTTACAGTAGTACATTTCTTCATCTGATCCATACAGTGCTGCGCTTGATTGTTTCGGCGGCGTAGACATGCTGAGGTTAAAGGAAGAGTTGGCTACAGGCTGCGACTGATCCACTGACATGACCTTCATGGTTTTCTGTATACGGAAATAAGACGCCTTTTGCTCTGGGTGTTTCTTCTGGTAGTGCACCAAAACAGAGTGCATGTTGGGACTAGCAAAGGAACACACGTCACAATCGTAGACAACAACGTTACCACCCATGGCCTCTTTAAGAGAGTCTGCCTCAGCACTAGCTTCAGGGGTCTTGGAAACGGTTTTCAGCACCGGGCTGGAGGAGGACCTGGGCGTCGACGTGGCCGAGTTAAACGTCTTGGGGCCGGAGTTTAATATTTCCCTCAGAGTTTGCGATTCACCTGCTTTGTGGGGCTGCTCCACGATATAGCTGGAGAAGATCATGGCGTTGTTGATCTTCACTGTGGGGTGCATTCTTTGGTAATGGGGCATTAGGCTCCTGACATTGGGGCTCGTATACGAACAAAAGCGGCACAAGTATAACAGATGCGGTTGGTTGAAGTTGAGCACGTTGCTTGCTTCAGGGTGGTGATCCATGTAGTGTTGGTGTAGATCATTGTAATTTGTGTATTCAATGTAGCACTCTAAGCAGCGGAAGACTGCGCTCTGGTCTTCGGGGTCCAGGATGTACTTAAAGCTGAACTTGATATACGGGTGCATCCTCTGGTAATGGGTGCTGACGCTACGAGCCGACTTGTTGTGGTAATCACAGTGTTTACAGTAGAAACGTGTAGTTCCGGTTTCCTCTGAATATTCAGCGTTCTCCTGGACAGTGCCGTCAGTGGGATCAGCAGAGATGTTTTCACTATCATCTGAGAGAGTCAGTGATATAGGAATGTTTCTAGGTTTTGATTTGGGGTTGCTTTTTCTTTTCCCTATTCTGCCTCCCTCGTGAGAGATCATTGATTCTCTCCCATGAAGCTGTTGTGTGTTGTAGGTAAAAACTGGGTTTTGGCTGTCATGGTCTCTCCCCTCTTTATCAGCACCGGTGTGATTTTCTCCTGCATCTTCTTCATCCATGTCATCCAGATTTATGATCATGTCCTGTTGGCTTTGGCTTATCTTACTTTGAAGGTTACTCGCAATTTCATCAATTCTAGTTCGCTTCTTGACCGAGGACAAGTCCAAAGGCAAGTCATTAATGGACTTCCTGGCTCTTTTCCCTGTTACTAGGGGCTTTTTGGTGGCAAGCCCTAAAATGGAGGTCTGGGTTTTTTGTAGAAAGATTGGAGAAGCGTCCACCTCAGAGTCTGGCTGGTCAGTCAGCTGGCTTTCAAAGACAGAGGGATCTAGGTCATCACAGTAGGAATGCTTATGCTGCTGGTGAACCCTCAGGCCTTTCAGAGTGGTGGTGGAAAAGCTGCAGAGCGTGCAGCGATGAGGGTTCTGCTGGTCGTTCGATGTGCTGGTTGTCTTTTTTCCATTGACTTTGGAGCTTACGTTACCCCCATTCACTGGCTCTTCAGCGTTTTCACTCTGAGGTTCTGGACTATCACTCGTTAGGTCCATGGTCTCTAAATCTGAGGAACTGTGGCTCTGTTTGTGCGCGCCTAGTTTAAGAGGACTGGTGCAAATAAATGGGCATTCATCACATTTATACACTGTGGTTTTGCCAGAAAGGTGAATGTTTTCAATGTGGCGGGAAATGCTCCGCCTGTGCATGGTGAGGAAGGAGCAGAAGGGGCACTGAAAGCGGTTCATGTACTTTCTGAAAGGTATTCCTTTAGTCTCCAGCAATTTGTTATCCTCATCAGTTAAAAGCTGCTTTGCGTCTGCTGACAGGGTTCCAGTGTAGCTGGGATCATCTATATCACCCAGCTCTTCATCGTCATCATCCTCTAAGCTGCTCCTAGAGTCTTCCTCGTTGAGTAAGTTGGCATCCATCTCTATGACACTGTTGGGGGCATCAGATGAAGCAAACCTCTTGGACAAAATAGAGGAACCTGTGCTGTTGGGTGTTACTGCACTAATCTGTGCATACTGAAAGGATGAGATCTCTGGGACTGACTTCTCCGCTGTGTTTTCTGGTGTTTTTTCTCCCGTCTCCTCCTCCTCCTCCTCCTCCTCCTTCCCGCGAACATCAGCAAAGCTCATCTTTGATCTAGTCGGGCTAGAGGGAGAATCTGGCTTGGGCGAGTTTGCACTTGCCTCCCCCTCCAGCTCCGCAATGCAGGAAACTATCTTGACCTTGTCGCTGTGCTCCTTCACCACGTGACTAGTCCAGCTGTCCTTCTGGTCAGTCTGATAGTCACACCATTCACAGGCAAACATTCCCTTCATGAGTCCACCGGCTGAGTCAGACTCCTCTGCAGTCTCAGCGTATTCTGAAGGATCTCCAGTGCTCTCTGAGGGAACTTTGCTATGATACATTAGTTGGTGTTTCATTATCCTCGCTCTGCGTGGAGACTTGTACGTGCAATACTGACAAGAGTACACTTTTGAATGTTCGTTGTGCATTACAACGGTGTAGCTGGGCTGCTTAGCTGTCGGTGAGGAGATACTTGCATCTGGATCTTCCTCTGCAACATTGTGCACTTTTTTGGTGTGGTTTCTTAAGAATGACTTTGATCTGAAGTAACGGACACAGAACTTGCACTGGTAAAACGGCAGATGGGTTTCAGCGGTCTGCTTTTGTGACGTTTGGTTGGAACTGTCAGCAGAGTTGGGGCCTGAAAAAAGAGAAAGTATATGAGACATTTATAGTAAAACAGTAACATTTTCCTGCCATTATTTAGTCCTTCTGTGATTTCTGTTAATAAATTCAGCCACAACTCAATACATTTTTATGCTCTTCACTAAAGTATACGATCATCCTACTGTAAAGTGTTCTCTGAAGAGAGTGTTTCCTAATCCCCAACAAATTAACAGTAACATCGGAATTAATGTGGTAGACATACTCATTCCAGCTTTAGGAGGCGTATAATCCTTGTCATCCTTATCCTCATAGTCCTCATGTTCCTCTTCTTCCTCCTCGTCTTCGTCCTCGTCTTTCAGAGAGTCAGACTCATCTGCATCTGCAGGCTGCAGGAAAACAGTGTGCACTTCCTGAATATGGGTCTTCAAGTCATCATATGACTCGGCACGGAAGTCACAGCCATCACACTGCAGTACCTCCATCGCTACAAAGAGGGAGCACTCCCTGGAAAATCAGGGAAACCTGCAAAGAGAAAGAAAAGAGAATGGAAAAAAACATTAGGACATATGTCATTTTCAAAGGAGTACATGGCAGAATACATGTTTGACTCTAGTGATTGCGAATAAAAAGAAAAATTAATTTATGAGAATCATATTAAACTATTCAGAGGAGCCATCAATGATGCAAATTAAGGGGTATTTCCGATAACAGAGGGACTCATATAAACAGAACCATCACAAAGCTTTAACACTGAAGTCATTTCAGGACTAATGTAATTCTTCAGTATTCAGTGTCGTGACAAGGCCCTTCCATAAAAATGAGCTTGGTGATGATATTGCATGATTTCCAATAGCAATTCCTGCTGAGAACAAAGTGCACACCTTTTGCACATAACAAGACAATTTCAAGTACAAAAATATAATGTTTAGAAATGTTTACGATTATGATTATGTGTTCACAAGATATCTTTTTAAAGCCGAGCCTCATTTGCTAGATTTATCGAGCCTCTTCAGGTTGCATTTGCAAGACCGTGCTTCAAAGGGATGTGGCACATAGTTTTTCTGATGTTGCATTGTTGGGGGAAAATCTTTTTTGGATAAAATACTGTTATTGCACTTGAGGAGGAGGACAGACACAATATAATTTGCATTTATTCTTTATGATTACTTAAATGCTGAGAAATGTTGGAGAGGGATAAAATGGTGAAGTAAGAGCTGAAGTTGAAATATTGAAAAAATAAAAATAAGATGTAGCCCTTGAAGTCTAAATCAAATATGTCATTGAAACACCTAAAAAAAAAAACATGAAAAATTAGAAGTGAAGTTGAGCTTTGCTCCTGCAAAACATGTTTTAAAAACTGAACAAAATAAAGGTTCAGGAATGGTTTGAGGAGCAACAGCAACAACAAGTTCAACGTGTTGACTTGGCCTCCAAATTCCCCAGATCTCAATCCAATCGAGCATCTGTGGGATGTACTGGACAAACAGGTCAGACGCATGGAGGCTCCACCTCGCAACTTACAGGACTGAATGGATCTGCTGCGAACGTCTCGGTGCCAGATACCTCAGCGCACCTTCAAAAGGTCTTGTGGAGTCCATGCCTCGTCGGGTCAGAGCTGTTTTGGCGGCAAAAGTGGGACCTACACTATATTAGGCAGGTGGTCATAATGTTATGGCTGATCAGTGTATTTTGGTATTGATGCACAACCGCTACAAATTTCTGATGTCTCATTATGATGACAGCATCACATGATAGAAATCCATATAAAAATGATTTTCCATCTGGAGCTGTCTACAAACTCTGACAGAAAGCCTCACAAAACATGTCAAAGAGGAGAATTCTGCTGATGCTGATGTTACTCCGAATACTAAGAAGGTCCCATTTTTTACCATAGCATCATTCAAAGAACAATGGAGGGACTGAGGAGGGATTATGGGCTGATTTGTCCCATTTTTATTACCTTGGGATAAGCAACAGCTGGAGAGCAGCTCCACAGCTCAGTATTTAGAGCAGACTATTCCATCAGATTGTATCAACTGCTCTGAAATAAGATTGAATGAATCAACCGAGAGATGAAGGCTTTATGTCTTTGAGCTCCTCTGCAGTTTGGACTTGGCCAGAAAAATGTAAGCTGATGATGTGGCCATCTTTTCACAGCTCTTTCATCACAGCTTCCTGATCAATTGTAATTTTGTCTTGTAAATATTGTAAATAGGATTTGTAGCTCACACTGGTTATTAAATAGGTAGTTAAAGGGCACAGGTTTACGAATCAAAGCCCAACCAATCTTATTTTTCTTTTTACACTTTCTTTTGAACACACCCACAAAGAAATAAATCAAAGTCAAAAATACAAAATCTGATAGTGAATTTTGTGGTGCTGGTCATTCAGTTGGAGGACAAAACATCAGATACTGAGATGTTCTGAACATGAAACTTCAACACCACGTAAAAGCTTAGTACAGCCATAAAGGTGAGTCATATTTTTATTGTATTAATGTATATGCAAGGGCCTAAAAAGAGTTTCAGTTATAACTGAAGAAACAGTCAGTGTCCAGGTGCATGGAAAACCGCCTGTTAAATATAAACAAACTGCAACAACAAAAGTAAACCAGCCAAAAGACAGTCAATAAATGGCCACTTAACAGAATAGTTAAGTCACAACAGGAGTGAATAAGCACCTCTCAGACTGATTCTCAACAAGATGTTTTACAAAGCTGAATTTTACAACAGGGCTCCCATACTGACACTGTTCCTACCCAAAGCAAATGTACAAGGAAACATAACCTGGTGTAAATATGGAGGATCTGTAATGGTATGGGTACGGCTATGGTGTGGGACTCATTAGATCTGATAACTGCACTCCATAGATGCATAATCGCCAACACTTACAATATGAGGCCATTGCACAGGAGCAGGTGCACCCTCTTATACAAACACTGGTCCCTTCATAGTGTTTCCACATTTCAAGGTGATTATACCTCCAAACCACCAAGTAAGTTTAAGAGTGCTTTCATGAACACTATGGACGCCTTCGCCTATGTAATCCTTCGCACAGTTCAGGCCGTCCGTGACAGCATGCCAAGATGGGTTAAAGCTGCTCTGAATGATGGATTGCCAGGCGTTTCCTTTATTTTGTCCACCCCTCCAATTTCAGTTGGAGAAAAAACGAAAACTCGAAATACAAGACTAAAACAACAATGAAGTGAACACATGGAAGGTTGTGTACACACCAGTGGCATGCACACACAAACACTGTGTACACTGCGTGTCAGTTGTGTTTGTATCTGATAAAAAGGACCAGAACATAAGCCTGAGGATGCAACAACCTTCTTTTGGGTTTGTGAAAAACTCCTTTGTGGACTGACAAAGTAAAAACCTTTTAGTATTTTTAGGATTTTTTTTTTTTTTGCCTTTATTGTACAACTTGACTTGACAATATAACGTAAGGAGGAAATGGAAAGAAACAGGTGGCTGACATGTTACACCGCAGGAAGACTACTTTCAATTAAGTACACTTAAATTTAATTTACTATTAAAATGTCAACACACACTTTCAAAACTAAAACACACATTTTGCTGAAAGCTTTTCTAAGTACTGTTTACATTTGTGTACATTTGTGTATTCCATTAATGGTGTTGATTCATTGTTCTTAATTAAAAGAAAATAAATCTACACTGCAGTACATCATGGTTCATGTCTAGAGCCTGACTAAATCCAATCTCACTACTGCCATTAGCTCTTCATTATTCCTGCTGAACTGCCAGACGATGAGGAGGCTTCATCAGTGGCTGTAATAATACCCAATGAAATAACAATGTAATGATAATGATAAAATAATAATAAATGATTAAAAAAAAAGGTGAACCTATACTTTAGTTATATAACACTATCATAATCAACACTTTCAGTTTGCGCCTAAGTTAAAATTATATTCTTAACAAGTATTTGAATTATCACACAACAGCAGCATGAGTCAGCAAGTGTGGCGCAAGTATGTATTTCTCATTTGGGTGTTAAACTTTATGGAGATCACATGTTTATCCTGTTCAGTGTGATGTTGTCTACATAGGTGCTAAATCTGATAAAGTGCCTCAGGTGATGTCACTTGAGTCAGTGTTCTTCAGGGGCTGAAGACAACAGACCTCTGTAGCCTGCTCCTTATCTCTGCTTCAGTCAGCAGCTCGAGGCTACACTTCACACTACTGGCATAACACACCTGAATCTCCGACCAAACTGTTGGCGGTGAAGTTGCATTGTGGGTTATATAGGCATCCGGTTTTGACAAGGAAGAAGAATGTGTGGGATAAAAAAGATTTTCTGCTGCATCGATTTTCATCCTTTATTTTAAAAAAGCTATCCACTGTGACTTACTTTTATTATCTATTACTTTAAGGAACTTAACTTTGATATAAAGACTACTTGTTTTAACTTGTTTAATTGCTAGTGTGAACAAGGAAACATTTGACACATTACGCAAAACTGAAAAAATAAATAAGTAGAAAAATAGAAACTGGAAATTGTGTTACAAGGTAACTTTTGATTTTATCAGAGATACCAATGAAATACAGCCTCAGTGCCACTATGAAATTCAGACCACTGCTCTGGACATTGAAACCAAGAAATTTCAAGTGAGATCCAGCCAGGGACAGTTGGGAATCCCGCCCTGCTTCCCACACCCAACTGGCCAGCCAGTGGAAAGCTCCATGTGAGCCGGCCAAGCCGCCAGTATGTCCCCGAGCAACCAGGGGATCCATTGTTGTTCAGGGTCAGGTTACAGCCTCACCACGGGGCCCCACCCTGCTCTCTTGGCAGTTCACTGCAGTTTTGAACAAAGTTGCCTCCTAATGCCAGGTTCCTTGACATGGATATGAAGAGAATCCTTTTGGAGAAGGAGGGGAGAGGAATGCCCAGAGAGGAAAAAAAAGCCTCCTACACAACCACCATCTGCCTTAGAATTGGCTGTGTCTTTTCAGCCAGTCAGTCCCTACGCCACACCAAGTTAATGGGTGAGATTGTGTAACTGCTTTCATCTAGTCAGCTGGGGCTCTAACAGGCAGCGACTGAGCTGCTCAGATCCTCCTCTGAGCTGAGCTTCAAGGGCAGCCATTTTAGGAGCTGACTATGTGCGCTTAGGTGTTCAGCCAGCACACAACATGGACCCACAGATCTGATCCTCTTCCTCAAAGGCAGGCAGCCTGTCACTGGAGAGCTGCTGACAGAAATCTATCTGCCAGATGTACTGCACTGTACCCAAGCCCTCTGCCCACACTGCTCAGCAGAAAACATCTCACACTCTTGCCAGCCTGACTTTGCCTAGTCCTTTCATTTCTCAGGGAAATTATCTCTCACATCAAGAGATTTTCAGAGAAATGCTCGAATCCGTGTTCCAAAGAAAGACAGAATAGGTCAGAGCGAACGGCGTGCACCAACACTTTGTGGAAGAGACATACTGCAAATGCGTTTTGTAGGAGCTGCCAACTACTTTCCACAAGGGGGTCTAAAAATGTGAGGCATGTCTG